GGGGAGGGGAGGGGGAAGGGGAGGGGGCTTGGTCTTCCAGAAGCAGGGAGAGGAAGAGAAGGAGAGAGAATGCCCAGAGTCATACCTTGTGGCAAACACCAGCTCAGAACTTCTCTATGAGGAAGTGGGACTAACCAACCTAGCCAACGCTCTTGGGGGTGGGGGTGGGGACTAGAGCAAATGAAAACACCCAGAACCCAATGTTAACAAACACTGGTAGGTACACGTGGAGTGGGGGGGCACACTAGGAGGGGCAGGCCCAGGCAGCTGCACGGATCGCACATGCCCAAGTCCCACAGGCAGGCACCAGCAGCCCGCGACAGGTAGAGACACACGCCCAAGCCTAAAGACTTATAGGTCAAGTTACACCAAAGGTGCTTTTAAGACCTTAAATCCCTCCCCCAGATCTGGGGCTTTAGCACTTGCCAGAAATTTTAAGGTGGGTATTCAAGCCTCCAGTTCTTCATTCAGTTAATTTCCTCTGATTATTCATAGATAGCACTAGCCTAAAGGATGGGCAAGATAAAAGAGGTTTGGTGGGTTTTTAGGAGAGAAATCCATAGGTTTGGGATTTCCCACATCAGGGAAAATTAGCAGTTTCCTTTAGTCAATCTCCCCCAGGTGTGTGCTAGCATGTGGTGTAGACCACGCTCCTCCCCTAGGCAGTAGGTTTCTACTGGGAGCACCCTGAGGGCAGGGTTGGGCCTTGTTTTCCCTGTCCCCCAAAGGCAAGCCTCATTCAGGTGAAGTCTATGGAAGGAACTGAATTTGAATAAAGGGTGGAGGAGTTCCAGAGGGACCCGAACACTTTGTACTGGAGGCGTGTTTCATTGATAAGGACCCTAAATGGGAAGGCTAAACCCAGGGCTGACACCTGTGAAAAGGAAGCTAGAGCAACTGCAGTAAGCAGTGGGTGAGAAAAGACCGAGCCCTTGGCCAGGCCTGTGCCTGCCTGAGCCAGGCTCCAGGGTGGCCTGGGGACATTCGTCTCTCTGCTAGCTCACACACAGGGAAACGGGCCTGCCCTGGAGTGAGGAGACAGTGTACCCGTTTCCCCAACTGGAGGAGGGGCAGCTGGTTTCTAGGATGCGTTGATACTAAAGTAAAGAGCCAGGCCCGGTGGTGCACGCCTGCCATCCCAGCACCTGGAAGGCTGAGACAGGACTGCTGAAAGTCCGAAGCCGGCCTGGGCTACACAGTGAGTTCAAGGCCAGCCTGGAATACATAGAGAGACCTCATCTCAAAAATAATCAAATAAGTAAATAAATGAAAAGAAGAAAAAACAAAAGAAAGGAGATCTGGGCATGGTGGTGTATGCCTGCGATCCCAGCACGCTGGATGCCGGGGTGTGGCAGTGGGGGCTGTCATAAACTCAGGCCCAACCCGGACAACCTTTTGAAACGTTGTCTCAGAATAGAAGAGCTGGGGATGTAGCATAGCGTGAAGGCCCTGTGTGCAATTTCCAGTCCCACAAAAAAATGTATAAAAAAATGTAAATGGTGGGTGAATTAATTTACCAACAGCCTTAAAAAGAAAACAGACTCATTTACTAAACATGGAAGGAAAGAGAAGAGGGAGAGGGAGATGTCACGGAGAAAATAATTAGTTCTTTTTTTTTTAGGATTGCAGATGGCGACTTGTGCTGAGGTTTTGGAGGAAAAAGAGGCTCCCAGCTGGGAGCCTGCAAGAAGCAGCAGTGGGCAGGACCTCTGGGGGCCCTGTGTGGCCTTTCCCTTTAAGGATGTCTCACAGGACTTGTCCCAGCAGGGGCTGGGGGGGGAGCGCTGTGGAGGGTTGCTCTTCCCATTTACAGAGGTGGGTGCTAGTGGGGAAGTTGTGTGCTTGCCTCAGGTAGCCCTGGGAATTCTAACAAGAGAAGCCTGTAACACTGCAGCCACCCTCTCCCACCCAGGGGTTCTGCCACAGGTCCTGAAGACTACGGCCCTTTGCCTGCTGCTTTATATCCTAAACCCCTTTCACACAATCTCCAGGTGAGGCTGGGGAGGGCTCCCTGTTCCTTGGGCACTGAAGGACAGCCTGGTTAGGGCCGCCTAGTTAGGCCGGCTTGGGGAGGGGGAAGCCCTTCCCCATGACAACCCAGCCAGGACCGAAACCCATGACTTCTGGTTGGCACTGAAGCCCACTTTCTAGTCCCAGTGACAAGTTCTGACATTTTTGCTGTTGGCGCTGGTGCTGGGGACAGAACCCAGGGCCTCAGGGCATGACCTTCCCACTGAGCTACATCGTGGAGCCCCCAGCGTCCAGGGTCGGATTTGATGTTCACTGCGGGAAGCGGAGACTGAGCCGGTAGATTTCGAGAGCACGCTGCTCTTGGGGAAGGGGTAGAGGGGAAGTGAAGTCGTGAGAAGGCCGCGTTCACAGAGGAAGCCGAGAAGACGACTGAGGACCCTGCCGCCACGCAGGAGGAAGGCAGCTGGAGCCCCAGCCGCCCCCACCCCCACTTCCTTTGAGCAGCGAAGGCAAAGGAGCTTCCAGGACTGGCTCCACTTGTTAAATATTTCCAGCGCCGGCACTGATTGTTTTGGTAATGAACGTTCACAAGTGGAAACTATTCCTCTAAAAAGCAGAGCCCAAGGCTGCTTCTCATAGGATGCTGTTCTGGGACTCTCGAGCTCACCCCGCCCCCCCGCCACCCCGCTTTAAGTTCTTGAAGCAAAGCTGAGCCTCAACAAATACTTCGGGGGCAAAGCCTGCAAACGGGCACACAGGGCACGGCGATCAAAGTCGAGTCACCGGCCACAACCTCCTTACATCCAGCCCCGCCTGGCCTCGGCCAGGAGGCTCCTCCCGCCACCTCCCCTTCCGCTAAGAATATGGGACCGAGTCCACGGCCGGCCGGCGCCCTCCCTCCGGCTCCAGGAGGTTGGTAAAAGGCTCGGAGGGAGCGGGAGCGAGAAATGCCACCCGGGCTGGGGTTCCTGGGTTCTTGTGATTGTTTAAAACGGGGAAGCGCGAGGAGTCGCTCGCGCAGGGCCTGGGAAGGAGACACACCTCTGCCCTGGGGGTCCCGGGTGAAGGTTCGTGACCTGATTGCAGGAGGAGGGCGGCGCCCCAAGCCGGGCCCGCCCGGGGGCCCCACACGGAGCTCGGGAAGTCTCGGGCTTTCGGATTTGAACTGGGGAGGCGGAGCAGCCGGGCTGAGGCTCGCGACGGCCATTGGCTGCGTTGGCGCCGCGACCTCGGTGAGGGGTGCGGAGGGGGCCGGGGAGGAGCCTGCGAGGGGAGTGTCGCCGGCTCCCAGCCCGGAGAGCCCGGGGCCAGAGCGAGCCGCACGACCGCGCGGACATGGGCCGTGGGTCCGGCCGCGGCGCCGAGCCCACCAAGGGGAGCGCACAGCCGCGCAGACCCCGCGCCCGGGACCCTAGGAACCGAGGTAGGCGACAGCCGCGCGCGGCCTGGGTGGGCTCGGACCCCTTCGTGGGCGGAGAGCATTGAGAGAGCCCGGGTGCGGGCCGCCACGGGCTGGGGACGAGGGCGCACAGACGCTGGGTCCTCAGCGCGCACCGGTGGTCGCCGCGCCCGCCCGGGGAGGTGGAGCTGGGCGAGGGCGCCTGTGAGGCGGTTCGGGTGCGGGGACCCGCAGCTAGGGACGGTGTCCCAGGAGAGCGGGGTCTGGGGAGTTGGAGTATCAGAATGCGGGACGCGACGATCGGTTTCCCCTTCCCAGATTGAGAGTCGCCGGTCTGGCCAAGGGTGCTGTGCTGCTCGCGGTGGGCCGAGGCGGCGGGGTTTAAAGTCCACCCCCTGGCCCAGGAATGGGGTGTGTGTCGTGGGCCGGCGCACAACAATCGGCGGCACGCAGCCCGCAGTCTGCCGGAGGGGGGTGTGTGCGCGCCGAGTTCCCCATGAATCAGAACCGAATGGTTCGCCTGTAGTGACAGAGGCGTGTACACACGCCCTCGCCCTCGTACACACACTGCAGCACACGCCACCCAGTGTCACCGGACGGGAGAAAGGAGGGAAGGCGCTGCCTGGAAGGGAATGGCCCAGGGAACAAACCCTCCCGCGCCCCGCCCCCGCCAGCTCTTTCCTCCCTCCCAGCCAGGCTCCCGCCCCGCCCGCCTCCCTCGGAAGACTTGGAGGCCAAGGCCGCGAGAGGCCCAGGCTCCTGTGGATGGGGTGGGGCCCAGCCGAGCTGCCGGCCGCCTCGGAACCCGGGAGACGGCTTTGCGCTGCGCTGCGCGCCGCGTGCGCCCGGAGCGCAGTGTTCACGGCGAGGTCGCGGGGACCGGTTGGTTATTGATTTAACCACAGGCTTTGGGCGGTTGAGCTGGAATCGGGGTCTCTGGCTCCGCCCCTCGGAGCGCCCCCCGCCGGAGTTACAAAACTGCCCCCTGGCCTGGTGAGTCTCAGGAACTGCCCTGCTCGCTGGGGATCCCAGCCACCCGCGGGTGAGTGACCCGGCCCGGAGGGGTTATGCGGGAGCGGGTCCTGGAGGGCTCAGGCAGGTTCGGCTTCCTGGGAGAGTAATGAAGTGTGCGTGTGTGTGTTTGTGTGTTTGTGTTAGATACTGGGTGAGGAGGTTGCTCTCCGCTAACTCAAACCAGGTTCCTTGTGTTTGCCGGATGAGATACTGCGGCCTAGGCTGTGGAAGTTTTCTTTTTCTCCCAGGAAGAATGGAGGGGAAATACAATGCTTTCTCTTTTCTTGTTCTCTGGGAACTTCTCCCGGTCCACCGCCCCACCGTTGCAATCTGCCCGGCTCCCGCCTCCTAGCAGGGCTCACAGATCCGTTCTTTGCCAGGTAGCGGTGTGTTCGAATGAAGAAAAATCCTTGGGGCGGGGTCCCTTTGCAGAGAAGTCCTCCGCCCTCCCTTGAGGGGTTGGGGTGCTCGAGGGAGACGGTCCTCATCCTTCCCCGGATGGGGGATGTAAACACCGAGGGGCCTGCCTGGGGACTCCCGCGGTGCACTACAGCTTCCCTGCACCGTCTGGGTTTCTAATAACTCCGAAGCAGCCCCCGCCCCCTTTCTGAGGCTGGGCTGGAGGAGGGGACCACCAGCAGGATGGACTGAATTTTAAGAGAACAAAGAACGGGGCACAAAGGAAGGGGGAGTTGAGCTGTGGGTTTGTGAAACAGGGGTGTGCTGGAGCAGAGCCAGGGCAGCCCCAAGGCCCCAGAGCGATGATGGGGCGTCCACCTGGACCCTGTGAGGCACCTTCCCTGCCGGGCGGCTGAGGCCTCGCGGGGTATGGGGTGCTGTGTTGGTTCTTTGCTCATCGGTTGTCCTGTGTGAGCTTCCTGTGGCTGATTAGTGCGGTTTATTCCCCTCAAACTTGGACCTTGCCCCACCACTCCTGAGGACAGCTGTTCCTTCCCACACCCGGGAATCTTGGGGGACACCAAGGGGTCTTCCCAGGGGTCGTGGTGATCCCTGCAGGGACAGAAGGGTGCCTGTGGGATGAAGTGAGCCTGCCCCAAGCGGTGGGGATTCTGGGGTGTCTTTGGGTCCCTACCCATTAAGGTCCCATTGCTTATGTTCAGCTGTATGGCTCAGGCCTCTGCTTTGAGCATTTCTTCCATATTCTGTGGTTTTCGCCCTTCTCTTCTTTAACTCCTGTTGTTTCCCGGCAAATCTCTGTTAGAACACCCTCCATCAAAGCTTGTTCTAACTGATGTGTGTACCCAACCTATTTCCCTTCTGTGCCTCTTGGAACTGATGTCCCCAGGAGGTCACCATCAAACTAGGGTCTCAGGTGTCATATTATAGAGCAGGAGGGCAGGTGAGCAGATGCTCACCTAGGAGGAGAATCTTTACAAGTTAGACACCTTTTGTGGTGGCCCATACCTATAATCTTAGCATTCCGGAGGCTGAGGCAGGAGAATTGCAAGTTTGAGGCCAGCCTAGGCTACATAGAGATCCTGCCAAAAAAAAAAAAAAAAAAGTCAAGTGGTTTTCAGGAAAGGCCTTTTAGTTCTGGCTCAGGAACTCTAGTTCCCTCCACCTTTGGAGTGGCTGATTGATTTCTATAACCAGGACACCCTGTGCCTAGCCTGGCAGGCCAGGTGTTTGATATGGTCTCTTGCCCTTTCTTCTACTCTTTTCCTTTATATCCCCCGATTCACCCCATTCCATCTAGATTGGGGTGAAGGGAGAGGGGTCCAAAGCCAGAGTGTCACAAGTGCTGTGGGACAGCAAGCCCAGCCTGTACCCCAGAAGTCCCACAGACTGGGAGGCCCTTGTCCCTGTGGGGGAGGGGGAGGAGCCTGTCCCTTGGAAGAACAGGGGAGCCCTGGGTTGATGCCAGAGATATGGCCAGTGGGTGAAGAGAGGTTGAGCAATCTCTGGGAGCTCAGCACTGAGCCAGGCAATGGAGGCTTTCTTCGACCTTGGGGAGAAAGAATCAAAGTCTTGTGCCAGAGGACACTTCGGGAGGTGGTCCCCGGGAACGCCCTGACCACCAACTCCAGCCAGTACCGCACCGTACTTCTGACGGTCCTCAGAAGGCTACACCGGTGCCAGCACTCTCTGGGCGGAGACCTGGAGACAGGAACTCCACATTATGGCTGGACATAGCCCTCTCTTGCTTGTAGGGTGCTGGGAGGAAGTTCAGCATGTAGCTCCCCACATTCCCACTCCCAGCTTAAAACGTGCTTCCTTGAGGCACTTCGGGCTTCCTTCCAACTGGCAAACACTGGAGTTTCCCTCCAGCGCCACCGGCTTGCAGCTCCGGCTCCACGCCAGGGTGGCAGCGCTGGCATCCAGAGCCAGCCCTCCTTTGGCTGGAACAGGGGAATTGGTGGTCTGTACTCCACCTCCCAAGCTGAAGCATCTCGCTTTTGGGGCTCAGGTGGGAGCATCTTGGGGTGTGCCATGAATGCACACCCGGTGTTTCCCCTCCTTCCTTCCCCTGGCTGACAACGTCTGAAAAGCAACAGTGCCAGGGCAAAAAGACCCCTGGGCGTTGGGATGCGCAACCACAACCTCCTCAGTCACCACCCTCTGCTTTAGCCATCGTGGTGGCAGATGAGGTCACCTTGGGCAGCTGCCAGCTCCCTGCCAGTCTCAGAGTTTTCCTGTGCGCAGTAATTGAACTTGGTCTGGAGACCCCAGCTTTGAAGCTCCCCCAAAGTGGCAGTGAGGCCAGGTTTTATCTTCTAGCTTTTCTGTCCTGGCCCTTCTTTCTCTCTGCCCTGTAAGCTTCATTCCTCTGGTGCCCACTCACTACCTCTGCCTTTCCTTAAAGTGTTGCCCCTAGTCCCAAAGCTTCAGAGAGAGGCCTGCCAGCTGCTGGGGAGGAGCTTGAGGCTAACTGAAATGGTGGGACAGGACGAAGTCCCAGGGGGCTCAGAGGGAACCTGGAAGCCAGTGGTAGGAGAGTGTGTGGACCCCTCTGAGGGGAGTCAGGGTAGGTACAAGGATGTGGCCTGCTTTCCTGTGGTTCATCAATTTGAAGCCCTGTGTGTTATTCAAAGCAGTAGCACCCCCTTCCCACATTCCTGAGTTATCTGATGTCTAGAGAGTAAGGGGACTTTCCCTTAGCCCACCTCAAGCTCACTAAAAGAGCTTAAGTCCTCCTGCCTGAGAGCAGCCAGACTTTGCCTTCCTGTGCCACAAAAGGTAATAAAAGGTAAAGGAGGATCAAGGGGAACAGCCTGAGTGGTTGCCTATGCCTACAATCCCAGCTGCTAGAGGGCCTGAGGCAGGAGGATTGCAAGTTTGAGGCCAATCTGGGCAATTTAGTGAGTGCTCAAAATTAAAAAAAAAAAAAAGAAGAAGGAGGAGGAAAAAGCGGTTGAGCCTACGGCTGCCTGACCTTACTGCCAAAGGGACTGCAGAGAGAGGACAGAATCTATACCTGGGCTTCAGAGGCTTGAAAGGACCCTTCTCCCTGCAACTGATAATCTGGGGGGCCCCAGGATTTGGAAAGGGGTCAGCCCGTGCTGTATTCTGGAGCCTTTTGGATTGAGTGTCCCCAGCTGTGTGCTCCAGGCTGATACTTCTGTTGGAAGTGAGGAATGACAGAAGGTGTCGCTGGGTATACTTGGAGTCCCCACCCCACCGCTGTGTGGGGTGAATGGGGGTGCCTGCTGAGAGAAGCAGCATCTCTCACAGCACCTATGTAATAGTGGCCGCCCTGGGGCAGTGTGTGCTAAGTGCTTTACACTTGTTGGCTTCTTTGATCCTCACAGGAATGGGGAGGCACAAAATGTCATCCATGGTTTTGAAAGTTAGGGAAGAATCTGAGGCATAAGGAACCTACCTGTTGTAGCATACCAGCTTGTGACCCAGGGAGCCTGGCTCTTACACCCGACCGCTAGAAGGATCTGAGTCAATGCTCTGCCACCTCGATGCTCGCTCCAGACACCCCCAATGTCCTCTGTGCTCCCTACTCCTTGGCAAAGTGAAACCAAAGCAGGCCTGGAGGATCTGGTTTCAAGTGTGGTTGCTTCCTTCTGAGACAAGGCAGCAGGAGGGAGGAGCCTGCTGGCCAGCTGTGGGACACTCCCAGTGAGGGAGAGCTGTCCTCAGTGGACAGTTCGGCCCCCAGCCAGGCACCCTGCCTGTCCTCTGTGATGGTGGTTTGCTCTGGGTGAGTCTCTGGGAAACACGCATTTCCGGGAAGGGCCCTGTAAGTAAGCAAAGTTGCCGGATGTCCCTGAGTCACTGCCTCTACGTCTTCTGGGCTCCTTGGTTGGTTGTCCTTTCCGGTCACTCCCGGGCCTTGGCGCCTTTCCATTCCTTTTCTGAGCTGTTCACATTCTAGGTGGTGGGCGAGGGAAGCTTTCTCCTCTGCCCTCCTCACTTCCTTCCTCAGGCTCAAAGCAGATGGTTCTGGGGTAAAAATGGAGGCAGATCCAGAGGCAAAGAGCAGTGAGCCAGTCCCCAGCCTACAAGGCAGGGGCTGCCCCTGGAGGGCCATGCGTCCCAGGATTAAACTGTACTTGGCCCTGGAATAGTAGAGAATGGGGTGCCCAGAGGAGGGGCTTTAACTAGAAATTATACACTAAAGTGTGTACGGCCTGTGGGCTTTCATGCAGCTATAGCTGTCAGTAAATCTCCAAGGCAGTTCCCAATGGTACCTCCAGTATTCATTACGCCAGAGTGGAAAAATCTGAATTCAAAATCTGGCAAGTCTGGATTCTCCTTTCAGCTCCATCTTGACCAGCTCTGTGACTTGGTTGAATGATTTAACCCTCTAAGACGTCATTTTCTTATCTGCAGGGTGGGAGGGATGATTATATTCCATGGGATTGCTGGAAGAATACAAGAGATAAAGCCTTTCAAATGCTTAGGACAGTGTATTACAACAGAAAGCAGTTTAATCAGAATCAAGCATCTAACAATGCTTCGTGCTGGGTAAAAGCTCAGTAACTGTTAGTTCTCTTTCTCATACTTCCTCCATGACCTGTAGCCCAGAGATGCTTGTAGGTTGGTGCAGGACTGTCT